TATATATATATATATGTGTGTGTGTGTGTGTGTGTGTGTGTGTGTGTGTGTGTATATATAGTGCTGTCAAATTATTAAAATATAATATTAAAATAAAAGTATTTGTTTACATAATATATGAGTGTGTACTGTGTATATTTATTATGTATAGGCTATATAAATACAAAAACATGCATGTTTATATTTAAGAAAAATATGTTGTTTATATATTAAATATATTTATATGTAATATAAAATATAATAATATAAATATATAAATGTATATACATATATACACATTTTTTGTATAAATATTTTCAAAATATATACTGTATGTGTGTGTATGTATATATGCATAATAAATAAACAGTACACACTCATATATTAGGCTATGTAAACAAAAACTTTTATTTTGGATGCAATTAACCTTTTGACAGCACTAATATATATATATATATATATTTTTTTTTTTTTTTTTCAATTGTTGAAATAGTTTAGTAAAATGTGTCGTAAGAGCATATATTATTTATTTATTTATTTTACTTGCAGTTACTGCAGTAGGCCTAACTCATGTCAACTACACTGATGTCATCAGTCCCGTGTAATATCTCAGCAGGTCCATGATACACAGCTGTTAGTGATATATATATATCATACATATCCATCAATGGCCTTCACAGTGTCTCCTCCCTCACACATATGCTTTAACACATAAATACACCCTCACACACTGGAGAATTCACAGTATGTTCTCCACTTACAGTCGGAGACAGAGTCTGTCTGCAGGAACTGGACATTAGTGACACTTTACTGTCTCTGTCTGGGACACACAAAAAATGGACACAAACTCTCTATGCTTTGGTAAGTTTCATGTCGTGAATCTAAATGTGGGGTGATGTGAAAATGTTTGCATGTGTATAATGTTTACAGTTCAGTTTATCAAGCTGAAGAATTGCTTATGATAGAATACAAGGAAATAGTTATTTTTTTTTTTGTTATGTACACAGGGTTCAAATGAGATTGTGCGAGTGATGTCCATGGGAAAAAGCTACCACGTGGCCTGTTATGAAGGAAAAAGCAACATTTAATCACTGTTCAGTCTGAAGAAAATCATAATTATTCATTGTTTATGTTTTTGTACCACTGTATTGTTGTTAAGTACCATGTAATTGATAAATGTTGACATGAAAATTTAATTTAAATACCATATAATATATATAAGTGCCATGATATATTTTTTATATCATTAGTATATTATTAATAGTATTAAATAGCATGTATTATGTTATTAATTCAACTTGCTACCAAACCAAACTGTGTTGTCATAAAAATGATGTTTACTTAATAATATTTATATTAATATATAAGAGATTCTAAATTGGATATTTCCATGTTATTTAAAGAAAAGTTAATAAAATTGACTATGCAATCTGAGCTTTGCGATGAGTTTGTTCAGGACTTTTATTATGACATTACCGGAAAGAGGCGGAAGTCATCTATTGTTTTCAACGCTGATTTAACATTTGGCGCGTTCAGTGAAAATTCGCGGTTTAGTGAGTGATAAACATAAGTGCTCATTTCTTTAAGATAAATATGGTATTTTCTGAAACATACGCGTCTCTGTATAACTGACATGGTCCTTTTTATAGTGAGTCTGATGTCGATGTGTTTTGTGAAGGGATTATAAAGTCAAACAGGTTGCTGGATGTGTTTGTGTTTCTATTTGTTTTCACGGATAAAGTAAATAAATGGATCGATACAATGATGTAAAAATCCTCCTGAAGAAATGGGAACAGTCTTTCTTCCAAACAAACAACAGAAAACCTAATAAGGTGTCGTATATTCATCAGTATTCTGGAATATTGTGTTGTTTTTAAGTTGTTTTATATGCTCTGTGTTGTTGTATTTAACGTTGTTTTCTTCTGTTGTTGTTAAATTAATACTGTCTAATACACCCTTTCTTTTGAAGGACGACATTGATAAAGCTCCAGAGGAGACGAGACGTAAGTTTATTGCGTTGTGTTTGTAATTTGATGAGTGATGTATGTCCGTGTTAGGATTTAAAGGGGTCATATTATGCTATTTTAAAGATCATTATTTTGTGTATTTGGTGTAACAGAATATGTTGACATGCTTTAATGTTCAAAAAACACATTATTTTTCAAATACTGTACATTATTGTAGGTCCTCTATGCCCCGCCTCTCTCAAACACGTCGTTTTCAACAAAGCCCCCTCCTCTGACAAGCGCAGTCTGCTCTGATTGGCCAGCTGACCCAGTGCATTGTGATTGGCCGAACACCACAAGCATGCGTCGGAAATGTAACGCCCCTTACCATAATCGCGAGCTTCAGCTTTCAAAGTAAATATCAAGACAGTTAATAATGTCGTTAGTTTTACCATCAGTTCAAGGCCGAAAGGGCAACAGTCACGTGACAGACACAGTGATGATGCAGTACACAAGCCACGTGCTATGATTTCTGACAGGCAGTTCACTCTCCTGTGATGTGACCCTGTTCCCCTCACACACACACACACACACACGACGCGTTACTCTGCGCTGCGCAAAACTCCCACAGCTGTTAGTGATATATATATATCATACATATCCATCAATGGCCTTCACAGTGTCTCCTCCCTCACACATATGCTTTAACACATAAATACACCCTCACACACTGGAGAATTCACAGTATGTTCTCCACTTACAGTCGGAGACAGAGTCTGTCTGCAGGAACTGGACATTAGTGACACTTTACTGTCTCTGTCTGGGACACACAAAAAATGGACACAAACTCTCTATGCTTTGGTAAGTTTCATGTCGTGAATCTAAATGTGGGGTGATGTGAAAATGTTTGCATGTGTATAATGTTTACAGTTCAGTTTATCAAGCTGAAGAATTGCTTATGATAGAATACAAGATGTTTGCATGTTAAGAATTTCCCATATATTTCCCATATACAATTTCCCTATAAAGATTTTATAATTTAATGCATAGTTAAATAGTTAAATTTCAGTTTCTGAACATAGTAAGAAGTTAAAATGTGTACTGTGTCACAATTATTAAAAGTTTATTTATTTATCCATTCCAAACATATTCTTTAGTTTAAGTAAATAAATAAATAAAAATGTTATCGAATACGTATTGAATAAATAATTCGATATTTTATTTCTTTATAAGCAGACAGATGAAATAAAGAATCAGAGAATTTAAATCTAATGCACAATCTTCAATCTTCAGTTCTTATTTACTGTTTAGTATGGTGTGGTAATCCCATGGCACTTTGATATACATCATGGTACTAAAATTCATATACCATTGTCATTTTTTATTCTGAAAGTAATTTACACCCCTGTGTTGATTATCAGTGAAAAGCACAATCTTCTGTGTGTTGTCTGCCGTCTGCAGGTACATGCGCGAAGTGCACTGGAGGTGTTTACGGTGCTGATCAGGCCTGCCAGGCCATGGGACAAGTGTACCATGACAGCTGCTTCACCTGCTGTGTCTGCGGTAAGACTGCAGCTCATGTATCAGTTCAGATGCATGGAAATATTACACAGGGCTGATGACATGAGTATATACACGCAAAACACATCAGAGCACCATGGCACAGTACAATTTTTATTTTACAAGTGAGAGGGGAAAAAAGTATATTGGAATGCTTTTACATTCCCCCAAGAAGCTTGATAGTAAAGAAATGCAAATATTTCTTGGGGGAACGCAATACTTTTGCAAGTGAATGCAAAGTTTATCAGAGAATACAATATAACTAAATGTTTTGTGAGCGAAATGAAAAGCAGTACTTTTGCAAGAGAATGCAAATGTTTTGCAAGCAAATGCAACGTTTTCCGCATTAATGAAATCATTTTGCTTGAGAATCTCTTATTTTTCCCTAATCATATGTGGTGCTTCACAACATGCTAATTTTACGCACGTCAATATAAACTCAATATCATGTGCATGTTTTCTCATCTCCTCGATGCAGGCCAGAAACTGAAAGGGAAGGCGTTTTATGACTTTTCAGGACGGGTCTTCTGTGAGGAGGATTATTTGGTCTGTGGTCTGGTCTTGTTTGTTAATTATTTCTTAAATTAAATGTAGAAGATTGTGCTTTTAATGCTTCCTTTGTTTTGTAGTATTCCAGCGTCAAGCACTTCGCAGAGGTCTGCACTTCCTGCGGATATTTAATCACAGATATGGTCAGCCTGAAAAGCATTCTGTGTGTGTTTTAATGGATAGAAAGAATGTTGTTTAATGTTTCCTACCACATGATCCATTAGCAAGATGACCTCTCTGACCCCTTTAGGTGCTCCAGGCTTTGGGAAAGTCCTTCCATCCCGACTGTTTCCGCTGTGTCATCTGTAATGAGAAACTGGAGGGACAGACGTTTAGTGTCGACACACAAAACAAGATATATTGTGTGAAAGATTACCACAGGTGAACAACACACTGACATGGACACTTACAGTCTGCACATACAGTGAATATAAAACCTAGTTATTAATTAATGGTCTATTAGATTAAATCCTAATCAAATTTCTTTGAGTGTCTGTTGACACTTTAAACATATATATATATATATATATATATATCATATGACCCCTTTAATTATTAATTTTTACCCTGTGTGTTTTTGTTTTTGCAGAACTCTATAAAGAATACCGTTCTCTTAAAGAAGCAAACGAAAGGAATGGCACTGGGCAGGAGGATCACACAAAACCCCCAAAGAGTCAGCCTTCTACAGCTGTAAGAGGACAAATCTTAATTCATTCATTTGAACATTCATCAGCCGTCTTTGTAGTTTCTGAAGATTATACCTGTTTATGTATAGATTTATTAAATGTGCATGTGTTCACTGTTTTAAGGAATCTGGATGCTGGGGGTCTCACCTCAACCGGAAGAGTCTACCGGCTGCTGTACCAAAACTGTCATCAGATGACAAAGAGACGCTGAAAGCTTCAGCTCAGTACTTTGGCATGAAGTTGAAAAACAATCTTGGAGCTTTAACAAAGGTGAATGTGACTTGCACTGTATCCTGAGCCGGGTGATATCATAAAAAAAAAAAAGATCTCAAGTTCATCTCATGACAATATGTGATATGTTGTGATATTTAATTATTATTCATATTTAATTAACGTAAATAGAAGTAATAAATTATCAAGTTAATAAAAAAAATAATCCGTCTTCTGCAATAAAAAATTTTTTTTTAATTTAAAAAGTAAAAATAAAAGTAAAGAAGTTTAATTTAAAAAGTAAAATACTATAGAATTAAAGTTTTAATAGGCCTAATTAAAAAGAGAATAAGAAAGACATGTATATAATATATTTTTTTCAATAAATGTTTTAAGATTTAAAATTCTAAGAACAATTATGTTGATGTTTGTTACTGTGTATATTCAGAAACCTTTCTACTGATTATTTTGACTGATATCATTGTGGTATTTGGTGGAAATGGCTCTTTATTTTAGCTATAATGTTATGAAAAGACATAATGAAAAATCTGTATATTGGTAAAAATATTCAGAAAGATGTCCACTGATTAATCTTTACTATGTTGTGCTTTTTGCATTACATAACTTAATCTGTGTGATATTAATGGCTGTTTTAACAAATAATGGTACTTTGATTGAAGCAATTCTTAATGAATCAAATTTTTGAGCCTCGTTCAGACTGTCAGCCCAAATCCGATTTTGTGCATATCTGGATGGAATCTGATTTGAATAACTGACTGTCCACACAGTGTATTGCAACTGTTCATATCCGATTTGTGTGTCCATAAGCGCTCTTTAATTTTTACAGAATGTGCATTGGTTTCTATGGTAATGCCGTTGCGTTGTTATGCCTATGCTAAAAACAACAGTAACAACAATACAGTTTGCAGTACAGATGTTGTCTTATGACATGACAACATGTTGCTGTCGCAGCTGCGCTGTATTATTATATTTCGTCTTGTGAGGCAGCGGCAGAAACGCAGGAAGCTGGAATGTGCAGCTTTATTCCGTGCTGCCGTCTCCGCTACATTCAAAACTCAAAGAGGTGCATAAACTAGCAGTATATTGTGTTTTTCCGCTTGACTTGCACTTCGCAACGACACAAGCTTGTTTCTGGCATGTTTTCTGCAAAAAAACGTCTGACGTGTTTACGTTTTACGTGGCGTGAGGGCGTGAAAAAGCTACGCTAAATCCGATCTGATCGGTCAGACTGAAACGGATTTCCAGGAATGCGATTTGAATAGGATT